ACCTTCCTGAGTAGATATAAATTACCTGCCTACCATTTTTCTTCTCACCTTGACACAGAGAGTACTCCATCTTTCTGTTATACCTCTGAGGATTCCAGTCACAGCTGCTGGCAAAACGTCAGGTCCTACAATGCCAAGATCACAGCCATACAGCCTGGAAAATCTACAACTAATGTATACATGTATCACCAGTGGTGCACTTGACAACTGAGAGCTTATGTTGATCCACACACCTACTCTGAATGGTAGAGGGGAATTTGAGGAAGGGTTGTTACTAAAAAAAACACACAACTATTATGTAGTTTTACTTTAAATGCAGTACTTGGTATCTCCATTTCCAATATAGATCTGAGCCATATGGAAAGTTGCCATATGTATATACCAGAAAATTAGTCAGTGTCCCTAAGTGTTAGAATGTATTTGAGGCAGCCAGTACCAGTTAATACTCAAAGCATGCCCATACAACTTGTTCTAGGCACACTGGTACCCTCGTAGGGGTGTGTGCTCTTTGGTTCTCCAGTATAAGGATTCTCAGGATAAGGTGTTTTAGTGACATTGTCATAATTTTTAAATTAAAATTGCACAGTATGTATCAGCCCTGGTGTACCCTTTTGAAGGACTAATTCTTACAGTAGTGATTTCCCTAACCATGTCACATTCATAGGTGGGGAGGCGTTAGGAACAGGCCGGTGGTTGCAGTGATAAAAGGGAGGTGGGGAGATCAGTGCTGCAAACTGCTTTGGGTCCCGTTTGTTTCTAAATAAGAAAACAATGGTGAAGTGGACATGTAAGGATTTGAACATTTGGGGGAGTGAACCAAAAAATGTGTGACTGAACCTATCCATTCACAAGTGACACAAAGCTAACCCAGAAAAGTTGAAACAAGAGTGTAAACCCACCTTCCCCATATGCTCATCAACTGACTAAAACCTGATTCTTTAATATGAGAACACATGTGGGATGTGGTGGGGGAGCGCTTTATTTTCAAATTGTTTCTAGGCTAGCTATGGAGATGCTAACCAGTGAAGTGACACAAGATTGGCCATCCGAGGGTGAGAAAAAGAGAAGTCACTGTGGACTCTGCTCTAGCTGTTTGATTCCAGCTTCCTCCCTCTTCACAATTTGCATGACAAAAGGGAGCATTATGGCACCTTAAAGACTTAAACAGATTTTGCAGAGTAGAGGACACTTCACTGGATACATAAAGTATGGTTTTAGTAGATAACTGCATAGAGAAAAACATAATAAACAAGGGGCCTGGAAGACAATGAAATGCAAGACAGTCAGTCTTATGTTTCTGTTCAAAACAGCTTTTAATGTTCCGGTTGATGTATTTCATTGCCTTTTTATGTCATAGCAAGACCAACCTGATTATTACTCTGGAATTTGCATAACTATATATGCACATACCTGCACTTTGCATGAGGTGGACAAACCATTGCTTGTATTTTAAAAGATCACATGTTCATTGTATGTTTCCTTCATAATAAGGAACAGGATGAACAAATCTACAAGGTGAGGATTACTCTGGTGTTTGTGACAATACAGCCAAGAACTATCCTCTGTAGGATGACCCTTCCCATTCCAATATCTGAGAATTCAAATAATGTGTGTATGTTGAGCTTGTAATTGGGGAGGGGGATGCATAATAAGATATGCATCAGATATTTTTGATCTGTGAAAGACTCAAATTATTTCTTCATTAATAACGCAATTTCCCTCTCCAGCCAACCCACAGTAGTCCACTAGCAGTATTAAAATATTCTATAATCTCAGGTATATTCCCCACCTCCTGCAAAAGATGAGTTGTGGGAGTAACTGCTATTGTGCTGTTAGTACTGTATAATAATAACCAGTCTTGTTATCCTATGCTTTGGAGCATCACACCTTCAGCAATGGTTCTTCATTTGGGCATCTATCAAACTATAGCAACAAGCCACAATCAGCAACCACGTAAGTAACATGTAATGCCACTATTCACAGATGCTTTTTATTCTTAAAGCTGTTGACAAGCCCTAATCACTACTTCAGTTCTTGGTCTATGTGTGGAGGCTACATGCAGTTGCAGGTGTTTTCTCTGAACCCCCAAGGAAGCTCTCAGATTCCTTTCCCATAATCTTTTAATCCTAGACCACCACTTTATTGGTCCTATGGGAGCCATTCATTGAAACCATTGGTTCTCACACACACACACAGAATAAGCAAACCAGCCCACAACTTCTCCTGTATGCCAGCCAGCATGCAGCTGTTGGAATTCTACTGACCAGCTGTTCAGCAAAATCCCTATGGCTGATCCTGTATACACACATCCTTCACTCCTAGCTTCTGCATCCTCCTCCTGTATTGTTTTTGAGTAAAGTTATTTTGTTCTACCAGCACCAGATGTCAATGTGCAAAGAGAGAATGACTTTCCTCTCATTCCACTTTTCCTAGAAGCAGTAAGGATACGTTTTGTGAACTTCTTAAAAGCTAAATAAGGATGATACGTTTTGTGAACTTCTTAAAAGCTAAAGAAATCAGCAGTCTGTATCTTGTATCATATAATTTCTGTTGCAGGCTGCTGTCATCTTGGCCTGGAGTTTGGATGTTAGATGGGCTAAGGAACAAGCAAACAAAATGCTTTTAGAATGATGTTACTACTTAAAAATTATGCTCTCATTATTCATTTTAGAAGAGGAGATTGGATTTGTACCCTGCCCTTCACTCAGTGGTTTACAAACATCTTTCCCTGCCCCTCCCCACAACAGACACCCTGTGAGATAGGTGGGGCTGAGAGAGCTCTGACAGAAGCTGCTTTTTTCAAGAACAGCTCTGACAGAACTATGGCTTTCCCAAGGTCATCCAGCAGCTGCGAGTGGAGGAGTGGGGAATCAAGATTGGTACTCCCAGATTCGAGTCCACGTACTTAACCACTACATCAAAAGGTCTTTTCTCAACTGTCTTGCAACAGTGGCTGTAGCTGCCCTCACAGCTATTCAAAGCTGATTCTCAGATGTGTGGACAAACTGTAAACATTGTACAAGATCAGCCTGAAACTGAGCCCTTGAAACAGCAAATTTTGTCAATCCAAAGTGATTTACTTACCTCTCAGAGAGAGTCTGTTGGCATATGCTAATTTATTTCAGGCTATACTGGAAGACGAGTATCCTTTTATCTACTTTGGCCCTAAACTGCACAAAAATGCTAGGTGTTAAATTACATTATCTAAGTCAGTCTTATATCAAATGGTACAAAAAGCCGATTTTATAATGTGTAAATATCTATAGTAATTGTTTCCCATTTTCCTTTTTATCAGACTGAATGCAAAAATAAGTGCAACTGTAAGCGAAGATTGAGTTGTCTGTAGGCACATTCAAAACCCCTGGCAGCGCTATTAGCACAGCCTGTAGGGTTTGATTTCATACTAGGCTCACATCAAGGGAACATGCTGTTTAAAAAACAATTCTCCCCTTGAACAGCACACAGGCTTCATCATGCCATGTGTTTTATCTGAGCCATGCATACCTGTTGAAATAGTTCAGACAAAGAGATCAATGAGTAGGAGCAGCTTCAAAAGCCTATCACAAACACTGTGGCAGGTCCCTGGGGCCCAGCCTTACAATTGTCACCATAGTATAGAAACTGTAGGAGGAGAGAGTATTTGTCTGTGCTCAAAACAGAGGGAAACAAGAGGCTGGCAAGGCATGTTGAGAATACAGATTGTTCCTGGTGGTTTTGTTGATGCATTCTCTTTTCATTCCTGGAAGACACAAACAGCTCAGCCAGGTCTCCCTGTATAGCAACAGGACTTGTGTTGCTATTGTCCGTTGGCTTTCTAGCTGAGGCTGTTGGGACAGCGAGTTTTATCAATGTGCATGCTCAATCTCTCAAACCATTGCTGTGTGTCAAAACCCACCCAGCCCTTTAGGTATGCCTCTTTCTGTGGTACACCAAAGTGCCTTCTTGCTAGTTCTGACTAGGGCTACTTGCTAGTCTATTATTTATTTAAACATTTATATCCTGCCTTTCCTTGTAGTTCATGGCAGCTTACAATAGTAACATTTTCAGTTAAAAACCAAAACGGCAGCTTACAATAATAGTAACATTTTCAGTTAAAAACCAAAAATAAAATAGCAAACCCCAAACCTCTCGCACCTCCCCTCATGAAAGACGTCTGCCATTCAAACCCCCTCAAAAGCCCTGGCAAACAAGCAGGTCATACAGCATCTCTTGGATATCTCCTCATTCAAGTACCCCATTCCATAGAGCTGAGCCACAATGGGAAAGGTCATGCCCCCCCCCAAGTGGTAGGAAAGCTAGCAAATGGCTCCCTGACCACCTTAGTTGGTGCACAGGCACATACAGAAGGACACAGTCCTTCCTCTCAGATATCTAAAGATGAGGATGTATCTTTTATATAGATTTCAGCGAAATTTATACTCCCATCTTTGAGTGGTCCATATGTTGTCTGTCATGTATTTCAAATGGAAAGATCTGTCCCTTTGAGTTTTAAGAGAATTGTTTTTGGTAGCTTGTTTTTCCTTTTGCTTGACTGACACCACTATGCTCCCAGAAGATCCAATAGTACAGTCAGTTCCTGTTCTGTTCCAAACACCCCAAAACAGAAGCTTGGTGCCCCTGCTGCCAAATGAAGCCGCCCTGAGGCCAAGCAGATTTAAACATTACCTGAAATTCCAGGAATAAGAGACTGGTCAAATGTAACTAAAGAGCATTTATAAATAACATTCCTTGATAGATATCCACTCCTCAGCTAAACTTCAGATGGTGTGGTAAGAAAAGGAAGAGTTACCTGCTTACAGCTGTAATCCTTTCCACACCTGCCATGGAGTGAGCCTCACTGCACATAGGACTATCTAGTGCTATATGGCTGAAATATAGGACATCAACTCCAGCTGGACTTCTTTTCCACAAGTCCCTCTTAGCAGCAAAAGTAGTTCATGTAACACATACTTAATCGATGTACCTCAAATTTACATGCTCATTTCTTTTAAAAAAACTTTATTTGCAAAAATTAAATACCCTCTAGCCATTAATACAGTATAAGCCCAGTGTCACAAAAGGAAACATGATGGAGGCAGGTTAATTAAAAGACTTTTTGAGACACCTCAGACAACACCATGCAAGTAGAATGCCAGGAACTTCTTGAATGTAACTGGCTGATAGCCATGTCCTCCAGCAGGAATCTGTAAAGAGAACATCTGGATCGTCAATGCCTGGCATACAATTTAACAAAGAGCAACGTATACACAAGTATGATCAAAACTGTTGATTTTAAAACATCCCATTGTCCCACAGACATTAATAGGGCTGGTGGTATAAATAAAATTTCAGATAAGTCCAAAAAAGTTGGCAATTTATAGTAGTAAGTGCTCCATTTACTTATTAAGAATGGTACACAACAAGCACACTTGTCTCACATCTATTCTTGCACCACGCCTGCATTACAGAGCATGGTGTTCTTCATTAAGGAATATGGGCATGTGTTATAAGCACTCGGGTGAGGCACCTTTTATTCTCGTCTGTATTGTAGTGCAAGTTATATGAGTGAATCTGAGCCCTGGCTATGAAGTACTGGAATCTGATCTGGTGAGTTTGAAGGATCTCTCTTCTTCATAATTCAGATTTGCCCTTAAGGGTTCCAGGGATTACATCTTTTGACCTACATATAAACTGCTTCAGTTCTACTTGCAGTAATTTGGGCAAGAAATCATTTTGTATTAGCATACCGTGACAATTTTCTTCCGGATTTCTGGACGATTCCTGGCGTCTTCATATAGAAGTTGGTCTGCATCAATCCAGGCCAAGTTTTTTACACCATGGCTGGGATCTAAATCAGTTGTGTTTAACTGGAACACCACGAACTGGAAACTCTGGCCATTTGTGGCAACACTCTGGACAACAATGGGTTTCTCCAAGACCTTGGGTTCATCCTAAGAGCAGGCAAGGGAAGGAAGCATTAAAAAAAAGAAAGGAAACTTAATCCACAGTTAATTCCACCAGGCCTGAGATCAAGAGGCAGATCACCACATTTTAAGTAGGATAAAACAGTTGAATGAATTCAACTAGATCAGATTATTTTTTCCCCATTTGGAGACTAGAATTCAGATGAAAGATATATCTGCGTATCCCTTAGCTCAACTACATTGTTCCTTCATATTAGCTTTGTCGTACTTGTCACATCATTTTTTCACTTCTCTGCATGTGGATAAAACAAAAATATCAGCACAGTAAAAAGGAGGGGAGGAGTCCAGCATTAGCAAATGTATGTAACCAAGCTGAAGAAATTCATAGGGAAGGTGGTCCCACAGGTACTGGCAGTTATTGGCCCTGCCAATTGCTTGCATTCAGCCCAAGACAAGATGCTGGTTATTGCTTTGTGAGTGCAACTCTGATTTGATCTCAGTGGAAGCACACCCAGTTGAGAGCTCTGCTGGGAGCCAGCACCCTCCATGAGAGGTTCAGGGAACTTAAAGGACATGCCTGTACCAGTGGAATTGGCGGACTCCAATCTTTTAAGCCCTGAGTTCAAATTTCACTTGAATCAACTGCAAAGTGAGTTACTTACTTGGGAAAATTTTAGTCCAGTGGCACCTTTAAGACTGACAAACTTTAATTCTGGGTATAAGCTTTTGTGTGCATGCACACTTCATCACGAAAGCTCATAGCCAAAATTAAACTTTATTGGTCTTGAAGGTGCCATTGGATTCAAACTTTGTTCTATTGCTTCAGACCAACATGGCTACCCACCTGAATCTATTTACTAGGGACAGATGTTGAAAGGAATAGTTTGCCCTGCTGTAAGATGGGATTAAACCCAGATATAATGTACAACTTTAAAATTCAAGCCAAGATCATAATGATCAACCAAATTAGCCTCTTCTGCATGTATTTGCTTTCTAATATCTTTAGCACACAAGCTAGATGTCAAAAGAAGCTTTTTTAACCTCCTGAAATACTGCTTTATGCCCTACCTTAAGCAAGTGAAATAGGTAAAAAGATTATGTTAACATCTTCCTGCTGGCCTGCAAGAGATTATCAGGATATACATACTCAAGTACCTATGAGTGCCTCTGGGTGCACAGAGCTTTCCTGACCTTCCACCTCAGCACAGACCATCCGCCAAACACCCAGTGCCTGTGTACAGCCTGCACAACAGACTAGGGAAGTGCAAGCTCATGCAGCATGGCAGTGCTTTTTCCAGGTCTTGCTTTTCATCCTTCTCTCTCATTTTGTGCTGTTTCTATGTGGATATGCCCACAGAAAGTACAGAAAAATAAACAGAAATTTTGACCAACAAACAGAGATTTTGAAGTAGCAGCAGCACAGGCTAAGTACAATCTCTTCATTATATCATAAGCATCTTATTGCTACTTACCCCATAAAGTACCCTGGCCTTAGCCAGAGCATTCCCAAAAGCAAACATCAACATTTTAGCCCGTAGCTGTTCTGGTCTCATTCTATGGTACTTATCACCATGAGCAAAATATATAGTGTGAGGATGAGGATATGGGTAACCCGTTCGGAAACCTATGGTACAAATTACCAGATTAAAGTTTAGTGCGATTTCATAGCTCATCCCTGAAGATCACCAGGGCTTTTCTTAACGACATTTAAGAAGATCAATGCTTAAGGTTGTGCATTCATTTACAACTCTAGACACCTTTTCACAGATATCAGCTCGTACAACACTCACCCAAAATAAAATACATTTTATCAAGCACAAAACTTACCTGTATCATTTTTTGTTTCATATTTATTAACTTCTTGAAGGTCTATTGTAGGTGCAATAGGATATAAGGTTTCTAAAACATCGTTTTCAGTGGCTAATATCTCATCCTTAGATGCTACAGGTTCTAAAGGATTCATAGCATTCAAAAGCTTCCCATTGACACCACGAATCTGAAGAAGGATAGATTCTGAAAAAGGAGAATATTGGGCCACATATAAATAAATCAGGCACCATTTTAATTAAAATTTTACTGTAGCTCTTAGTGGGTCTGTAAAACACCATGTTCAAGAGGGTGTTCTTGGATCAAATACCAGGGCAATCTCCTTTGGCAGGAAATCAGCTGCTGGCATTCTTCCAAGCAGGTTTTCTCTCTTCCCTACTTTGAAGGAAGATGTCTCTATTTTTCATGCATATTGCTTGGCAGAATGTACTAAAAGACCCCTGATTAAGGTGTTTCTCAGGTCACCCCCATATTCTTGGTTCTAGGATTACAACAATAGTAGTTTTGGAGCATCAACACAAATTCCTGGAAAACCCATGAGTATGTCCTTGGATTGAAGGGGGAGGGGGGAGTAGCCTAGGACAAAAAACTGCAGACCTTCGTCTGTGTTCCAGTAAGAATAGGTAGGAGTAGGATGCCCACTTTAATCAAATTATTGCCATGGTAGCACAATGACTACCTTAAAAGGTGTGCAGCAAGCTTAGACTTAAGGCTATCTGTGCAACAGAAATCCTGAGAGAAGGCTGAACTGACTTAGTTACACATTCTGAAGGCTCTTGGACTCCTGGTCAAATTATTTCCATTCAATCAAGCCGCTCTTAGAGCACAGCTCTCTTTTTTTTGCCCCATTCATTTTCAACCAAAGAAAGCCCAGTGACAACCGTCTTTAATGAAGTTTTCTCACTTGACAGCTCACATCCCAATAACTAAAATATGCATCCAACACATCTCCCTGCCTTCTGCCCCCTTTTCCGTATCTTATTGGGAAGTTTCCCCACATCAGGAACACGCCCACCACACCACCAGCTAATCAGAGGGCTGTCACTGACTTCATGTGAACACCCTGCCTCTCTCTAGGCCCAGTAAAATCAAAATGCTTTGCTCCCACCTCTCTGTTCCTTTATCAGAGCAGCCTTTATGCCTTCAAAATCTGCTCAGTAATCAGCTCTTGAGATGTTACTTCTCTACTGTGTACCCTGAGTCTTATTCTCTTGTGCTGCATTCAGCTTTCTGCATGTGGCCACGTCCACATGCTTCCCCATGGACTTCTGCTTGGATCTCTTACTCTGGATCTTGCTGAAACTCTTGCTCACATCCCTGGCAAGCTCACATCACATAATTCCCGACCCTCATAGTAGATAGGTAATCTAACCCTGCACATTACCTGGTACCGCCTTTCTCTCACTCTCAAGTTTACATGTTGCACAGTGAGTGTATGGTTACTTTAAAATATTTACTTTATCGCAGGCATTCTAGCATTTGGTGCTACTTATGTGGTCAAACTGGCCGCATAATAAATAAGTGTGAAAGGTGGTAGAAGACAGTTCTCTCATGCTTTGATTCCCCAGAATGAATTTACACCTAGATAAGCAATGGGCCATCATCATCCCAGTCCGGTACATATGTTCTTTCAACCAGAGACAGCAACACAGGCAGGATGTATAGGGATTCCAAGAGGTTTCCCATCCAGTCACTGATCAGCTTAGCTTCAACAAGGTTACTGGATCACATGCCCTCAAACTATACTGCATACTCAGATTAAATTATACGTGCAAGATATAAGTGTATACTTCCAAATGTTCCAAGTTATTTTAAAAACACATTCACCAATACAGACCATGAATTGGGTAGACATAAGAAACCATGCCACTGAGACCCCTGTTGTAGATAATGGGGAACAAAACGTCTACACAGAAATCTTGGTAAGATTCTCACTTTTCCCCCCCGGACAAACCAGGACAGGGTAATTGCACCTCTCCAATTTAGGCTGCACTCTGGTACTTTACTTCTCACCCATAGAAACATCATCAAAACCGAGCAGCATCCGAACCTATTTTTAGCAAGACTTATGGCAACCCTGCGGGGTTTTCACAGCAGGAGACGTTCAGAGGCGGTTTGCCACTGCCCGCCTCTGGTCAGCAGCCCTGGGCTCCTTGGTGGCCTCCCATCCAAGTACTAACTAGGGCCAAGCCTGCTTAGCTTCTGAAATCTGAGGAGACTGGGCTAGCCTGCACTATCAATGTCAGTTTCAATATACAGATATCCAAAATATTTCAATCAAGTATACTATTGATGAATATATGAATGGTTTGCTAAATATGTAAATAGATATTAAGCATGCAAGTTTTTGCTTTATTCATGCCAGGAAAGGCTAGCCCTACCAATGTTAGGGTAATGGAATAATCAGGATCAATAGCTAGGAATAGCTTTTCAGGAGAAAAGCAATCTTTATCCCTGCTTTAGTCTATGGGATTTCCTTTATCTTTTTGTCTATCAATTTTCTGGACCCTCCAGAGAAAAGAACCCTTGGAACTTAAAGGACCTTGTGATTTTACGCTACAGCTTGAAACATAAGAACATAAGAAAAGCCAATGTTGGATCAGGCTAATGGCCCATCCAGTTCAATACTCTGTCTCACAGTGGCCAAAAATACCAGGTAACCTCAGGAGGTCCACCAGCCGGGCCAGGACACTAGAAGCCCTCCAACTCACTGTTCCCCCCTCCCAAGCACCAAGAATACAGAGCATCACTTGCCCCAGACTAAGAGTTCCTATCTGTACCGTGTGGCTAAAAGCCACTGATGGACCTCTGTTCCATAAGTTTATCCAATTTCCTCTTGAAACCATCCATCCTTGTAGCCACCGCGACTTCCTGTGGCAGTAAATTCCATGTATTCATCACTCTTTGGGTGAAAAAATACTTCTATCCAGTGAAACCTGACTGCTCAGCAATTTCACTGAGTGCCCACAAGTGTATGTATTGTGAGAAAGGGAGAAAAGTACTTCTTTCTCTACCTACTCTATCCCATGCATAATCTTGTAAACCTCAGTCATGTCACCCCTCAGTCGTCGTTTCTCCAAGCTAAAGCGCCCCAAGTTCTTTAACCTTTCTTCATAGGGAAAGTGTTGCAACCCTTTTATCATTCTAGTTGCCCTTTTCTGCACTTTTTTCCAATGCTATAATATCCTTTGAGATGCGGTGACCAGAATTGCACACAGTATTCCAAATGAGGTTGCACCATCGATTTATACAGAGGCATTATGATACTGGCTGATTTGTTTTCAATTCCCTTCCTAATAATCCCCAGCATAGCGTTGGCCTTTTTTATTGCAGTCGCACACTGTCTCAACATTTTCAGTGAGCTATCTACTATGACTCCAAGATCTCTCTCTTGGTCAGTCTCCGCCAGTTCAGACCCCATCAACATGTATTTATATTTAGGTTTTTTGGCTCCAATGTGCATCACTTGGCCACACTGAACCCCATTTGCCACGCTGATGCCCACTCGACCATCCTCGACAGATCCCTTTGGAGTACCTCACAATCCTCCCTGGTTCTCACCACCCTGAACAAATTTGTGTCATCCGCAAATTTAGCCACTTCACTGCTTACTCCCAACTCCAAATCATTAACGAACAAGTTAAAAAGCATCAGACCCAATCAGTGTTCCCTCTAAGCTGAATTCGTGTGAGCTAGCTCACAGTTTTTTAGCCTCCGGCTCACACATTTTTGTCTTAACTCAGGAAGGACGGCTCCAGTGCAAACTAATTGATGCAGTAGCCAAATCGCTCGCTCTCAAACTTTAATGCCGGTAGCTCACAAAGTAGAATTTTTACTCACAAAACCGCACAGCTTAGAAGGAACATTGGACCCAATACCAAGCCCTGTGGTACCCCACTGCTTACCACCCTTCACTGTGAAAATTGCCCCTTTATACTTACTCTCTTTCCTATTAATTAGCCAGCTTTTGATCCACAAGAGGACTTGTCCTTTTATCCCATGACTATTGAGCTTACTTAGGAGCCTTTGATGAGGAACTTTATCAAAAGCTTTCTGGAAGTCAACGTAAACAACCTTTATTGGGTCCCTCTTGTCCACATGTTTGCTCACCCCCTTAAAGAACACCAACAGGTTAGTGAGACAAGATCTTCCCTTGCAGAACCAATGCTGAATCTTCCTCAATAGTTTTTGTTCAGCAATGTGCCTACTAATTCTCTCCTTAATAATGGTTTCCACCAACTTACCCGGTACTGATGTCAGACTGACTGGCCTGTAATTTCCCAGATCTCCTCTGGAACCCTTTTTAAAGATGGGAGTGACATTAGCTACCTTCCAGTCCTCAGGAATAGAGGCAGATTTTAATGAAAGATTACATATTTTTGTCAGGAGATCCACAAGTTCACATTTGAGTTCTTTCAGAATTCTTGGATGTATGCCATCCGGGCCTGGTGATTGATCAGTTTTTAAATTGTCTATCAGTCGTAGGAACTCTTTTCTTGTCACCTCAGTCTGACTCAGGTCTTTCAACACCCCTCCCAAAATCAGCAGTTTTGGAGTGAGCAAGCACTCCTTATCTTTCACAGTGAAGACAGAGGCAAAAAATACATTCAGCTTCACAGCCATTTCCCTATCGTCCTTCAGTAATCCTTTTACCCCTTGGTCATTCTAGGGCCACACTGCCTCCCTGGCTGGTTTCCTGCTTCTAATGTATTTGAAGAAAGTTTTATTGTTGGTCTTTATGCTTTTTGAGATATGCTCCTCATATTCCCTTTTTGCCTGCCTAATCACAGACTTGCATTTTATTTGTCATAACCTCACTGAGACTAGCTTTCCACCGCTTAAAGGAATCCTTCTTACCTTTTACAGCTTCCATTACTTAGTTAACCATGTAGGCTTTTTTCTATACTTATTTGTGCCTTTCCTAACCTGCAGTATATATTTTATCTGAGCTTCTAGGACTGTAGTTTTAAATACTCACCAAGCTTCCCTGATGGTTTTGACCTTTTTTACTTTTTCTTTCAGTTTCTTCTTCACATGTGCCCTCATTTCAGAGAAGTTACCATTTTTAAAGTTAAAAGTGGTTGTGCTGGTCTTTTTGGGTAACTCCCTATTTATACAAATGCTGAACTCAATAACATTATGGTCACTGTTCCCAAGCGGTGCAATTACTTTTACATCTCTCACCAGGTCTTGGGTTTTACTTAGGGCCAGGCCTCTTTTTGTAGCAGGAACTCTTTTGCATATTAGGCGACACACCCCTAATATAGCCAATCCTCCAAGAGCTTACAGTAGCCCCTGTAAGAAGAGCTCTGTAAGCTCTTGGAGGACTGGCTACATTAGGGGTGTGTCACCTAATATGCAAAGGAGTTCCTGCTACAAAATGAGCCCTGCGGGCCAAATCCAGGATTGCCTCTCCCCTGGTAGGTTCTGTGACCATCTGTTCCCTAGCACAGTCAATGAGAATGTTTAGAAACTCAGTCTCTTTTTCCCAACTTGAACACATATTGACCCAATCATTGCCAAGTCTTTATTCTAAGGCAACAGTTTCACTAAGGCAATTCTAAAGGATCAAGAGATCTACACAAGAGAGGCGGGCTCTACGGCACAGCGATGGCGGACGCCTTTCCCAGCTCTCTGTGAAGGCGTGCCATACAGCAGCAGGGGGGAGAGGTGCCACTGGATCGGCACCTCCACGGGGGTTCGGGGGGAACTCCCAGGCCATAGGGCTTTTGAGGGTGAACCTCTTTTCCTGCTACCTGCAGGGAGATGGAGGCTCCCCTCCGCCCTGACGGTCCCTCCCACTGACTGCATCCTCCCGGCGAGGCCATAAGCTGTGTTGAGAGATCTAGTGGAGGAGCGATCAAGAGCGTGGTCAAGATAAAGACCAACAATGAACTGTGAGTTAAGGAGCGAACTGTGAGTTAAAATGAGCGAATTGTCTTCAGAAGAGGAAAATCCCCCTCCCCAAAGGAAAAACTTTGAGCGATCGGAATTGTGATG